ATTTATACATTTAATCCAACCTCAAGGGGGAAAAATTATCCAAAACAAATTTAGAGCTCTTATGCAAAAAGAAAAGTAGTAACAGCCAAGAAAATAAAAAAAAAAAGAGCAAGGGGATGGGTGAACCTTCACTTGGCAGACGGAAAAACAAGATATGAGGCCTCAGCGATGAATATTGATACCAGTGTATGAATACAGAACAGAAACACCTGACATGACAATTAATAACATGTTTCCTCCCTTCCTCAAACTAAGCATTACTTCACGTCTTATCCATCTGACTAGAATGACAACTACTGATGAAAATGGCAATTCTTAAGGTTCTGACCACCATGTTGATAAAGTAGAAAAACTAAAACTGCATTTCTCTGGAAATCCGCAATATGGACAAGATGAATTTCATGCTAACAGCACTGAAAAGAAAAGGAAACCAAGTAACTAAGTATTGACTGCTCACTTTTAAAGCTTTATAAGTCTTGATATTTAACAGTGCCACCAATTACACAGCTAAGGTCACAGGGAACTTAAAAATCTTTTATAATATTGGACTTAAAGACAGACTTAAATTGAACTTAATTTTCTCAGAATGGTAATTAAAGTAATTAAGTTCAAAAAATACAATAATACTCCAGTTTTTTCCAATATGTAACGAAAGAACTGGAAGCCAAAATACTATTTATTGGCAAAGACATTCTATTGGGTTTTTCTATCATGACTGTGATCCTCAATCTTATTTTTTTTTGACAGACTGCTTCCCCTTGTAGACCTCTCAAGTATTTTTCACACACCCCAATATCATTAGACCTGGAAGGGGATAAGAGATCCTGCCCCTAGGTGCTACTCCCAGACTATTATTCTCTCTCCCTTCTCACTAAAAAATGTCAGTTTTTGTCATTTACTTTTATCATTTACTGACCATCAGTTCACTCACTCCCACTCTGAGGATTTCGGACTTTGGCTAGCTTTCACCCTCTTTTACAACTCCTGTCGTAATTCTTGGTTCAGTATGTTCATAGATGAATCTTCTGTTAATAGCCCATCCTCTCAGTTCATTAACTCCCCTCCTCCAATGATCTTGTCTTTCAACCTACCACAGCCACTCATTCCTTTGATCAAACCCTGGACCAATAACTGCAAATCCTTCAATAGCCTCCATTACAAATACTCCGTTCACCAACCACCACTCTTATTTTTCAGCTCACCTCTCTCATACGCAACAATCCAACCCTTTGAATCCCCCATTTCTTAGACCTACTATCACTATCTCTTGACTCTTCCACATTTCTACTTTTCCTCAGCTCTTTGTAGTTTCATTTCCCTCCGTACCCAGCTACAATTCCATTGTCCATCATTTACATCCTTAAGTCCAATCCTGGTTACATGCAACTCTTCATGTGCACACATACAACTGAAAATGGGTAGAGAAAAAACAAAGCCATGTTGACTAGTGTCATCTCAAGTGAACCCTTGTGCCAACCAACAATCACACTATACCTGTTTCCAGAGCTAAGTGAATTTGCACACTAAAAGACATCCACTAAGGAGAATGTCCAAACAGTTCTCCTTCTTGTCTTTCACATCATCAGTTATTCTTTCCACGGACTTATTCCATCAACATTCAAACACTCTATTATCTGACCCCACCACCCTCAATGCTTTGTCTTCTTTCTTTTATAGCAAGACCACTTGAAAGAGTTGCCTATAGTCAGTTGTTTTGAATTCCTATTTTCTCTGGAATCCATTCCAAGCTCTAGTGAATATCATTCCATCAAAACAGCTTGTCACACCATTACTCTAACAGCTTCCTAACAAATTTCTTTGCTTTTACTCTTACCTCTTTCCGTTCCAACCCATGACAGCTCATTCTCAATACAGGAGCCAGAATGTTGCTCTTTTTTTAAAAAAAAAAAATGTTTTTTTATTGATTTAAGGGAGAGGGGAAGGGGGAGAGAGAGAAACAACATTCGGGTGCTTCCTACACGCCCCCTACCGGGGATCGAGCTTACAACCTGGGCATGTGCCCTGACCCGGAATCAAACTGGCGACCTCTTGGTGCACGAGACACCACTCAACCAACTGAGCCACACCAGCCAGGGCCAGAATGTTGCTCTTAATGTAGAAGCCAATTCATGTCACTCCTCTACTTGAAATCCTGTAGTGGCTTCCCTACTCTCTCTGAATAAAAGTCAAAGTCCTTAAAATACCCAAGGAGGCACTGATCAGTCTGTTAACATTCTGAGCTCATCTCCAATTATTCTAGCTGCTCATTTTGCCCATCACACTGGTTGCTTTTTGTTCTTAGCACATGCCAGACATGTTCTTGCTTCATGGTCTTGGCATTTTCTTTTTATTCTGCCTGTAATACTATTCCCTATAGTGTGTTACATGGCTCACGCTTTCAAGTCTTTAATGTTTACTTCCTTCTCTAGTCACACTACCAAAAAAATCTACTCAACTGCCCTTCTGTCTCTCTTTCGTTTTTTTCTTAGCTCTTTCTATTATACAAGTGTATATGTATTTCACACATATACACATGAAAAATGTGTATATGTATACATATTTATTTATATATTCTCTGTCTACACACACACAGACAATATCTTTCCCTCCCCAAGTAGAATGTACTCCATAAAGAGGGCAGGGACTTTTGTCCAGATGTTCATCTCAGTGGCCAGACCAGTGTTAGCACATAGTAGGATGTTAACATATGAATGAAGAAATACATTTAAACATAGTAAGTAATTTTCCTATAGGTTATAACAACTTCAGAAATTTTTCAAGTTACCAATATTTCACAGTGATGATTATTCACTAAAGTATATACCGAAGAAAAGACTCGCTAAAAAAGGATACTAAATATTTATGTAATCCACAAAGTTATGTTAGTTAATAGGTTCACTTTACCCCTTTAAAACCTTTAAAAACTAGTTCAGGTCTCATAAAGATTAGAAGAGGAAGAAATTAAATGACCTTTGAATTGCTCCAAAAAGCTATCATCCTAAATAGAGTCACAACTCCCTAAAAACTGAAGATCCTTTAGTTGGCCATTAAAATAAAACTGGACACCATACAAATTACCTGGTGAATGAGTGTAATGAATTCTCTAGGGGATAAGTCTTCTTTATCATGAAATTGCTTAAATTAAACTTTATTATCTGACAAACTACTACAATGTTTCATCTAATATTTCAAACCATTTAGAAAGCCAAGTGACTGTAATGATTTTCATAGAAAAATAAAAACACACCAGAGATCGTTGATAAGCTGATTTACATAAAACACAGTGATAAATTATTCCTGAGAACAAAGAGAGAGAGATTTGAAGATATTTCGGCTGAAAAAGTGTGTTCTAAATAAGTACTCAAACAACGATCTTCACTGTCATTCTTCCCACTGGGAGGAACAAGGGAAGTTCAGCATATATGAAAAGCATTTGCTGTCTAAGATAATTATAAATTACTCTAATACCGTGTGAAAGCATTTAAAGATCGCTGTTAACGAATGATGCATAATATCACACGAAATAGTCTAACCTATGATTATTGTAGATTATTGGTCTTATAAAACACACAAGTTGGGAGTGGTACACAACTGATTTGAGTCTTAAATTGAAGACATTTAGAAGGGACACTAAATTAATATTGCTTTATTTTTTTCCCCAGCAATGAACTGTCCTTCCTAAAAAAATTTTTTTATAGGGGAGAACAAGGTTTTTAACAAAAATAAAAGAAACCCATATGGTTTAAATACAGGTCAAGAGTCCTTGGCTAACAACGATAAAGCATTATTGTCAGGTAGTTGGTATAGACTGAATTTTCCCAGTATGTGGTACAAATGCAATGAGGACTGCAACCCAAATGCCACTATCATTAACGCTTAGTTAGCAGTCCTGTAGAAGAGGATAGAAGAAAAATAAAACATTGTTTTGATAGTTCTCACTTTATCGACTTAACCCCCCCCCCCCCCCCCCCACACACACACACCAGGCTTATGTAGTTTATGGGATGGGGAAGGGCTTTGATCGTCGTGACTACACTGTACGAACCACTGAAGGGAAAATAAAGGCATTTTGAGTTAAGACACCACCCCTGATCTCAAGGAGTTTAAGATATAATTACGGGGAAGAGGGAATAGTCACTAAGGGAAAAAGTGCCGAATGCTATAGAAAGTGCAACAAAAAAGCTAAAGGCGTTCAACTGGGAGATTAGCTGGGATCACCCCAGCTACAGTCAGGTACACACTACTCTATGAGAAAAGCGGAGCGACGTCTGGCCATCGTTTCTGCAAAGGCTGGGAGCGGACGAGGAATATTTGACTTCAAGGCGGCAAGATGCCACGACTCCATAGTCACCACACCGTGGAAGAAAAGGCCGCGACTCCCCATAATCAAATACGCACATGTGAAAACATACCCATTTCACTGTGCCAAGGGAAGAACGTGCGTGTGTGGGTGCTGTAAATTCTGAAGGTGCCTTCCTCTCTAGGAGGTTCAGCTCTAGAGTCAGCAGGGTAAATGGGGACTGCAAGCGGTGGATCGTTAAGATGGTATCTAGGTCTATTCTCGTAGCCTCTGGCGGGTGGCAGGCAGAAGTGGCCGAGAACCCGATCAGCTGGTGCGGAAGCGCGACGCGCCATGCCCTCGCCGGCTGCCTGCCACGCGCTGCTGCTGCTGTCCCCATCGCCGTCACCTGAGGCCTAATCAAAGGTTCTCGGAGAACGTCCCTACAACCTTTAAATTGTGGCAGATCGCAGCTAACGGCCCAACCCCTCTGGGCTATTTACGTACCTGGAGAACGATCCCCTGGCGGAGGGGAGCGCAGAGGCCAAATCAGCGTTTGCTGTCACTTCTCAGCTACACAACGTGTTCCCACGGCCTCCGGCCAAAATGGCGGTGCCCAGCCGCCGCCTCGCGCATGCCTTAGGGACGTAGCGCGCACACGTGACGGAGAGCGCCGGGAGCGCCGGCGAGAACTGACGTCATTGGGATGCGACCGCCAAGTCTACGTCGTTGGGAAGCCTGGCGTTCCGGAGAAGCTCAGTGGGAGTGGCGCGGAGCTGCTACCGGGAGTCCTAAAACCCTGAGCTGCCGCAAACCCGGTCTGCAAGCTGTAAGTGCGTGAGCTTTTTCCCGATGCGGAAAACGGTTGTAGCGTAAGCACAGGGGTTCATTTCCCCAACCCCAGTCTTTTTTTCCCGATCTCAAGGCCCGTGGGTCAGGAATGGAGCGTTAGACATTGCCCATTTTAGCACTTACAGCACAGGTGTCAAGCAGGACCGACAGAGTCTGGTCCAGACGCTGCTCGCGGTGGCGTTCCCTCTTGTGCCTCAGTTCCTTCTAAACTGTGTGGCCAGGGACTCTGTCTTATCCGAGCTCCGTGTTTTATCCACTTGGTGGCGTCCGGTACCAAGTCTTGCAGTTGAATTCTGCTGTAGTAGAGAGATGGGCTTTGTTTGTTTGTTTTTGTTTTGGCGATTTGACGTTTTTGGACACAGGACGTTCGGCTCGTAATGATGGTCAGAGCTTTAAAGGTCTCATCCTAGACCTCACTTAACTTGCAGGTGGCAAGTACTTTAGTGTATGATTGAACCTATTTATTCATTCAGTAAATTGCTAATTGAGCATTTAAGTCTTAGGCCTTTACTAATTTTAAAGTCCAGTGGCTCTGCTATTATTTATTGAGTATCTTAGGGCTGCTGTGGGGATTAGGGGACAATTGAGATCTAATAGGAGGTATCAAGGAGATGGTATACTGAACTATTGGTCCAAGTTAATAATAGCATGTATAACGATGTTCAGTAGCTGTAACTTCGCGTTTCTGATGCAGTTTTACATATTGTTCACTATCCAAGAAGTATTATTTTTTCACGTTTGCATAGACTTAACAAGATTAACTAACAAAGGATGTGCAAGATGAAGTAAACTTTTGGTTTAAAATAGGCCAGTTACTCAAACCTTGAAGCCATTTTTCTGACTTTATCTTCTGTGGTAAGAGCACATATAAATGGAGCATTTGACAACTAGTGGGGAGACATGATTTTTCTCTGCATCATTTAACGGATTATTTTAAATGAAGACTAATATTCTCATATTTCTGGAATAAGAGTATTTCAGTCTGAATTTTCTAGGTAAAACGTGTCATTTGAATTAAGAATTTTTACTCATAGAAGTGTAGAACTGTATAGTATTATAGAATTATAGATCAAGTCTATCTCTTTGACAGGGAAGGAAATAAAGCCCAGACCTGCCCAATGTCTAGGCTAGTTAAAGTAGAGACTTAAGCTAAAACCCTGATTCTGTGCCCTTTTGCCTGCTGTACTCAGCTGCTTTGCACATAATATATTTTAGAAACAAAAACTGAATTCCCAAGATTTTTAAATTTACAGTAGTTGAGTTATGTTAACTGCATTTGAGAATTAGGTGATTAATATCAAGGGTATATTAGTGATCTATTTGCTATTAAATTTTTATTTACACCTTTTGTAAAAAGATGCTCAGGTCCTGATATAATGTGGATATTCTCTTTTTTACATAGAATATTTAAAAAATGACCACACCAAACAAGACACCTCCTGGTGCTGACCCTAAGCAGTTGGAAAGGACTGGAACAGTACGGGAAATTGGATCACAAGCTGTTTGGTCATTGTCATCTTGCAAACCAGGTAAAACAAAACCAAAAAAAAAAAAGCTGTTTGTAGTAACTACTTTCAGTTTTCTTGTATTGTGGACTGACTTTAATATTCTTTTTGTTTATATTTTTTATTTTAATTCTAAAATAAATTTGAGTTTTCATCTGTTATACAGTATATCTCTTCCCAGTTGCTTTTCTTACATCCACTTGAATTTAATTGCATATGTCATAAGGTGTCCTCTTTATCCTTCCCTATCTCTGCTCTGATTCAGTTATTTGATTAGTATTTTTGCGTTGCTAAGGCTTTTTCTCTATATGGGATAAGTGGGTGATACATTTTTTTCAGTGATTGCATATCCCAAAATAACTTTATTTTACTCTTGGTTGGGATAGAATTCTTGAGTGTCAGTCCTTTCCTCTCACCATTTTTTTTTTTTTTTAGCATGTTGAAAATAAGAAGGCCTATGCCTGTCTCTCTCTCTCTCTTTTTCTTTTCTTTTTTTTTTTTATCCTCACCCGAGGACATTTTTCCATTTTTTGTTCAGATAGAGTGGGAGGGAGGGAGAGGGAGAGAGAGAGAGAAAGAAACATCGACGTGAAAGGGACACATCGAGTGGCCGCCACCCGCACGACCAACCAGGGCCGGGGACAAACTGCAACCGAGGTACGTGCCCTTAGTGAGAACCGAACCCGGGTCTCTCTGGACCGCAGGCTGATGCTCTAACCACTGAGCAAAACCGGCCAGGGCCCTTTTTTTCTTTTCTATAGCTTGTCCTTTCTTTCTGGAAACATTTAAACTTTTTCTGTGTATTGTTAGTATTCAGGACTTTTGCCAGGATACACGTGTATCTTTTTTTGTCTGTCTCTCCTATAATTTGATGGGCATTTTCAATTTTCAGACTCAAGCTCAGAGACAGATTTTAATTATAATATTATTGGTTTAGTAGTTGTGTAGTTGTGTTTCCTTCAGAAACTTGTATTGAATACACATTAAGACTTTTGTAAATCATCTTCCAAACCAAGCCTCTTCTGTTTCGCATTAACAATTCCTTTCTCTCTCTTTCTCATGAGTAGTTTATTGAGGTGTAATTTACTTACAATAAAACTCACCCTTGCCTGGCTGGTGTGGCTTAGTGGATTGTGCATTGTCCTGTGCACCAGGAAGTTGCCATTTCGATTCCTGGTCAGAGCATATGCCCTGGTTTGGGGCTTGATCCATGGTAGGGGACATGCAGGAGGCAGTCAGTTGATGTTTCTCTCTCATTAATGTTTCTATCTCTCTTTCCCTCTCCCTCCCTCTCTCTCTAAAATAAATAAAAACATGTTTTTAAAAACTCACCTGCCCAGCCAGTATAGCTCAGAGGTTGAGCATTGACCCATGCACCAAGAGGTCGCCGGTTCGATTCCTAGTCAGGGCACATTCCCAGGTTGTGGGCCAAATTCCCGGTGGGAAGCATGCAGGAGGTAGGTGGCCAATTGATGTTCTCTCTCATTGATGTTTCTATCTCTCTCTCCCTCTCTTTTCTTCTCTATCTAAAATTAATAAAGGGGAAAACATTAAAAAAATAAAATAAAAAACTTTTTTAGGCATATAGTTCTATGAATTTTAAGCACACAGTCACGTAAGCACCCTCACAAGCAAATACAGAATATTTCCATCATCCATGGAAATTTCCTCATGCCCCTTTGTAGTCAGTCTTCTCCTTTCCCCTCCTCCCAAATCCCTGATAACCTCTGATTTGTTTTGTGTCCCTTTGTTTTTGCTTTTCCCAGAATGACATATAAATGTAATCATACTGTATATAGATTTTTGTGCCTGGCTTCTTTTACTTAGTCTAATGCATTTGTGATTTTTCCATGCTATTATATATATAAGTATTTTGTTTCTTTTTATTGCTGATTACTATTCCACTGTATGAATATACCACAATTTGTTTAACTGTTCACCAGTTAGTGGACATTAGGTTTATGGTAACCAGCTTCCAAAATGGTCCCAGTGATCTTAGACTTTCCTACCTGTTGCTGACTGCAGAGATGGTTTGTGCTCTTGGTAAGTTAACATTCTCTGTGTTCACCTCTCTCTTCAGTGTTTTGAGTCGTGGTTTGCTCTGTGACCTCAATTCTCTATTGTACCTAAGAAGAATTACTGATTTCCAGTTAGTTCAGTGTGTTTTTTTTTATTATTGTCGTGAAGATGAAAGTGACATCTTCCAAGCTCTTTACATATCAGACCAGAAACCGAAAGTTCTTCCTTTCAGTTTTTTTAAAAAAATTTATTGAATTTATTTGGGTAACATTGGTTAATAAAATGATTTAGGTTTCAAGCGTGCAATTCTATAATACCTCATCTGTATATTTTAAACTATATATCTTCATAGTCAAAGTGGATTTATTTTTTAATTTTTTTTTTCTTTATTGATTTTAGAGAGAGAGGAAGGGAGAGGGAGAAAGAGAAAGAAACATCAATGAGAGAGAACATCAATTGGCTGCCTCCTGCATGCCCCCCACTGGGGATCAGGCCTACAACCTGGACATGTGCCCTCATCAGGAATCGAACTGGCAACCTCTTGGTGCATGGGTTAATTCTCAACCACTGAGCCACACTGACTGGGCAAAGTGGATTTCTTATAGATAGCATATTATCAGGTCTTTTTGGTTTTTTAGATCTGATCTGACATTCTTTATCTTTTAATTAGGAGTGTTTAGACATTTATATTTAATATATCTCTTGATAGATGAGAGCTGTTTTTCTGATCCATATTCAATCCTAGATAGTCTTTCTGTGCCTGGCCTCCAGGGTTGGGCTTTCTCAGTATTTTGGGCCCTCCTACCTATGATATCCAAACTCTGCCTTGTATCTGTGGCTGGCCTTTTGTGGGAGAGAGGTTTCTGCCCCACCCTCAGAGGAAGGACTGTTTCCCTGCCTCTCCCCCAGGTGTAGAGGCTTTTTTTTCTTTTCTTTTACTCTTCTCCTAGCAAGGAAGGGTCTGTATTGGTGTCTTGGAGCCAACAGGTTTGATGTTCCTCTCCCAGCAGCTTATTAAATCCTTTGTTCCATAGGAGAGAAAGGTTTGGGAAGGGAGGAGGGGCTTTTTTCTTTTTTCTTCTCCTCTATGCCTGTATGTATCACTGAAATAGGCTTTCCATCTCCTGCTCTCCCCCCAGTTTTTCTGGTATATACGCTGAGGGCCCTTGGAAAAGAGCCTGAGAGTCAACGTGAGTTCACCTTGTATTTGGCACTCCCAGGGCTGCTCAACTTTTATGTTAGCCTACACTTGGCCTTTAGTAATTTGTTCAAGTCCTACCAGATTTCTTCTTGGTGTTTATTTGTTAGTGTTCCTTCTTCCCCTGCTCTTCCACAATTGGGACAGACGGTATATCCTTTTCCTCCTGTGCCTGGGAGCTACCCCTTCTTGGATTTCAGGCTATTTGGTTGCTGTGTGGTTTCAAGTTCTCATGTTTTCAAGAAAAATTATGAGCTTGTTGTTTAGCCTTCTTCTTGTTTGAATGGGGGTGATGCCTTTTCCCAGTTTTCTGTATCCTAGACTGCTTCAGAAGTTTCTTTATAGCATCAAATATTTCTGTGAATTTTCTAAAATTGAACAAATCTTCCATTGCTTGACTTAGTAGTGTAGTTCAACTGGTGCCATACTGTGTGAGTAATGGGGTGTAAATCAGTGCCAGTTCACATCCTTTTGTTATGGCGTTTGCAGAGAGCAGCACGTAGAAGTCACTAGTTTCCTGAAGACGCCCACTGCTCTGACACCTACCAGGTATAGAAGAGAACAGTAGTTGACAATACCAGAAGAAAGGTGGGATCACTTAAAATGTGTTGGATATGAAAGTCATGAAATTTACCAGTGTAGTGTCATACATTTTTTTTTTATCCTCACCCGAGGACATTCTTCCATTCCTGCTCAGACAGAGTGGGAGGGAGAGAGAGGAAGAGAGAGGGAGAGAGAGAAACATCGATGTGAAAGGAACACATCAAGTGGCTGCTTCCCACACAACCCCAACCGGACCAGGGACAAACTGCAACCAAGGTACGTGCTCCTAGCGGGAACTGAACCCAGTCTCTGGACTGCGGGCCGATGCTCTAACCGTTGAGCCAAACTGGCCAGGGTGTCATACATTTTACTTCATATAATTTCAAGCTTTGGGTCTATCAGTGAAATATCATATGATTATCATTTTACACATTAAGAATGACTAACTTAAAAAAAATTTTTTTTCTTTATTGATTTTAGAGAGAGAGAAAGGGAGAGGGAGAGAGAGATAGAAACAGTTATGACATTGATGAGAAAGAACAATGATTGGCTGCCTCCTGAATGCCCCCCACTGGGGATTTGGACCACAACCTGGGCATGTGCCCTGACCAGGAATCGAACTGGTGACCTCTTGGTGTATGGGTTGATGTTCAAACACTGAGCCACACCGGCCAGGCAGATGGACTACTCTTTATAGATGAGAAACAACATGAGAAAGTTAATTGTTTAACCTTTACTTTGCTTCTCTATAGACATATATTTTTCTGTTTAAGTCAGCAGATAATTGCTGAAATCTGTAAGACTGTTAGAGATTAAAAGATAAAGAAGGGCGTGTGCATCCTCGTCGACCGCTGCGGACCCGTAGGGAAGCGGTTCGGGCGCAGGCCGGGTGGTGTGGTCTCCTGCCTGGACAGTGTGAACGAACAATGCAGAAGGACTCCGGCCCACTAGTGCCTTTGCATTGGATTGGCTTTGGCTATGCAGCACTGGTTGCTTCTGGTGGGATCCTTGGCTATGCCAAAGCAGGTAGTGTCCCATCCCTGGCTGCTGGGCTCCTCTTCGGTGGTTTAGCAGGCTTGGGTGCTTATCAGCTGTCTCAGGACCCAAAGAACGTTTGGGTTTTCCTAGTTACATCTGGAACCTTGGCTGGCATTATGGGAATGAGATTCTACCACTCTGGAAAATTTATGCCTGCAGGCTTCATTGCAGGTGCCAGTTTGCTGATGGTCGCCAAACTTGGAATTAGTGTGCTCAATAGACCCCATTGATCATAGTCATGTCCCAGCTTGGGCTCATGAAGAATTTTAAAACTTCCACTATTTTTATTAAGAGAAATAAATGGAGCATTTTCACATATACTGATATTTTACTTAAAAGAAAAAAGATACTGAACTTGGCAGAGAAAATTATCAGTCATTATTACAACCCTAAAGAGGTGGGTATCATATAACATAAGAGCTTATTATAATACTCTCATATAATTTGATTATTACATGATGTTTTTTCTTCATTTTGTATTTTTACATAAAGTCTCAAAGGGTAAAATATTAAGTGTCAACACTGAGGGCCCTGAAACCCCATTCCCTACTTAGAGGAACAGTGTGAAAAAAAAATCTCATGAGATTAGGATATCTGTTCCTTTGCTCATCTTAGAGCACAGACCTACTTTGAAATTATGTTAAATGAAATATCAATGAAAATAAAATTTACTGTAAATAACAACAACAAAAAAGATAAAGAAGACAGTCCTTGCTGTCAAGGAGTTCACAAGCTAGTAGAGGAATTTTAACTAGTCATTATTATACAATGTAATAATATATAACTTTTGTTTAGTGCTTACTAAATAAAAGGTCCTGTTATAAGTACTTTACATGTATAAAATAAACAATTCTCTCTCTAAAATAATTGTAAAGTATGTACTGTAAGGTATTTTTATCATTTTCTTGAAAACAAAAACAAAACTATTTTTTTTTTTTTTTGCCCAGCCTGTGTGGCTCACTGGTTGAGCATCAACCCATGCACCAAGAGGTCACTGATTCGATTCCCAGTGAGGACACATGCCTAGGTTGTGGGCCTGATCCCTAGTGGGGGACATGCAGGAGGCGGCCAATTGATGTTTCTATCTCTCTCCTTCTCCTATCCTCTCTCTCGAAAATCAATAAAGAAAATATTTAAAAAAAAATTTTTTTTAACTCCTCACCTGAGGATATTTTCCCATTGATTTTTAAATAGAGTGGGAGGAGGGAAGGAGGGGAGAGAGAGAGATGTGAGAGAGACACATCGATTGGGTGCCTTCAGCATGACCCTGATTGGGGCCAGGGATTGAACCTGTAACCCAGATACATGCCCTTGACTGGGAATCGACTCTGGTCCACAGGCTAATACTCTAACTGCTAAGCCAAACCGGCCAGGGCTTTTTATCATTTCCTAAATGAGGATACTGTAGTATAGAAATATTAAGTAATTTGGCAAAGATCACATAATAAGTGGGAATGCTGGGATTCAAGCAGTCAGCCTCCACCGTGTCATGCTGCTTTCTACTAAGTGTGGGCTCAGTGCAGTAGTGGTCCAAAGGAGAAAGTGATTGACTGCTTTGAAAGGATCAGGGCATCTTTGTGGAGATAATGCTTATCCTGCATGATGGAGCAAGAATCAGATTTCATTCAGTAAGGGCATAAAGGCAAGAGGAACAATGTAGCTTAGACAAAACATGGCTCTTTTAAAGAATTGTGAGTAGCCAGTAAGTCTAGAACAGAGGAGAGTGACCTAGGTGAAGGTAGCTAGTTAGGTAGACGCCTGATCATAGAGGACGTTATTAAATTGTTCACACTTTATTATATAAGTAGTACAAGCCATTGAAAAGTTTTAAGTAGCAGTGTAATTAAGCACTGTTTATTCACATTTAAGAAATGAATATAAATATACACACAGTATATTTAGAAGATATTATTTAAAATTAGCCCTGGCCGGTTTGGCTCAGCTGTTGGAGCGTCGGCCTATGGACCAGAGTCCTGGGTTCAGTTCCACTAGGGGCACATACCAAAAAAATAATAATAAAAATAAATAAATAAAAATTAAAGCTAACAACTAAGAACTTGATCCTAATAGAAGCATTTGTGTGTGCAAGTGATGTTTCTTTTAAGAGTTGAGGTCTGGTTAAGACAATGGAAGAACTCTGCTTAATTTAAATGTCACAGTACTGACCATCCTATTTATCAAACTTTCTGGACAGATATATATTTTATATTTTGAATATATAGCTCTTTCTTTAGCATAAGCATTTATTGTCACTTGTGTTTTTAGGATTTGGAGTGGATCAATTACGAGATGACAATCTAGAAACTTATTGGCAATCAGATGGCTCCCAGCCTCATTTAGTGAACATTCAATTCAGGTAATACATTAAAACTTCTTTTTAATTGAATTTATTGAGGTAACATTGGTTAATAAAATTATATAGATTTCAAGTGTACAGTTCTATAATACATTATCTGTATATTGTATTGTGTGTTCACCACCCAAAGTCAAGTCTCCTTTCATCACCATTTATACCCCCTTTACCCTCTTCTACCTTCCCCCACGCCCTTTCCCTCTGATAATCACCACACTTGTATGTGTCTGTGAAGGTTTTTTTTTTTTTTTTTTTTTGCTTAATCCTTTTACTTTTCCACCCAGTCCCCCAACCCACCTCCCCTCTGACAGCTATTGGTCTGTTTTCTGTATCTATGAATCTGCTTCTATTTTGTTTGTTAGTTTATTTTGTTCATTAGATTCCACACATAAGGGAAATCATATGGTATTTGTCTTTTTCTGACTATCTTATTTCACTTACCATGCTACTCTCTGGGTCCCTCTGTGCTATTGCAAAAGGTACAATTTCCTTCTTGGTTTATAGCCGAGTAGTATTCCACTTTGTATATATACCACAGCTTTTTTATCCACTCATCTACGGATGGACACTTGGGCTGCTTCCAAATCTTGACTACTGTAAATAACACTGCAATGAACATAGGGGTGCATATATTCTTTCAAATTAGTGTTCCAGGTTTCTTTGGATATATTCCCAGAAGCAGAATCACTGGGTCATAAGGCAGTTCCATTTTTACTTTTTTGAAGTAACTCCATACTGTTTTCCACCATGGCTGCACCAGTCTGCATTCCCACCAACAGTGTACACAGGTTCCCTTTTCTCCATGTCCTCACCAATACTTCTTGTTTGTTGATTTATTGATGATAGCCATTCTAATAGGTGTGAGGTGATATTTCATTGTGGTTTTAATTTGCATTTCTCTGATGATTAGTGACATTGAGCATCTTTTCATATGTCTCTTGCCTATCTGTATGTCCCCTTTGGAGAGTGTCTATTCATGTCTTTTGCCAAGTTCTTCATTGGATGGTTTCTTTGGTGTTGAGTATTATAAGTTCTTTATAAATTTTAGATATTACACCTTATTGGATGTATCATTGGCAAATATGTTCTCCCAGTTAGTGTGATGTCTTTTCATTTTGTTGATGGTTTCCTTTCTTTTTTTCTTTCTTTTCAGTACGTACCCCTAGCAGGAACTGAACCCAGGACTCTCTGGTCCACAGGCCAATGCTTCAACCGCTGAGCCAAACTGGCCAGGGCTGTTGATGGTTTCCTTTGCTGGGCAAAAACTTTTTAGTTTGATGTAGTAACATTTGTTTATTTTTTCTTTTATCCTTTACCGAGAAGATATATCATAAAAAATATTGCTCAGAGAAATGTCCAAGATTTTACTGCCTATGTTTTCTCCTAAGAGTTTTATGGTTTCAATTCTTACATTTAAGTCTTTAATCCATTTTAGTCTATTCTTGTGCATAGTGTAAGAAGGTGGTCTAATTTCATTTTTGGCACATATCTGTACAGTTTTTCCAACACGATTTATTGAGTAGATTGTCTTTACCCCATTATTTGTTCTTGCCTATTTTGTCAAATATTAATTGACCATAAAGATATGGGTTTATTTCCGGGCTCTCCATTCTGTTCCATTGATCTATGTTTCTGTTTTTTATGCCAGTACCATGCTGTTTTGATTACTATGGCCTTGTAGTATAGTTTGATATCAGGTATCATGATTCGTCCAACTTTGTTATTCTTTCTCAAGATTGCTGTTGCTATTCAGGGTCTTTTGTGGTTCCATATAAATTTTTGGAATATTTTTTCTAGTTCTGTGAAATATGCCATTGGTATCTTGATAGGAATTGCATGGAAGCTATATATTACTTTGGGTAATATGCACATTTTAATGCTGTGAATTCTTCCTATCCACGAACATGTTATGTGCTTCCACTTCTTTGTATCTTCTTCAATTTCTTTTCTCAATGTCTTATAATTTTGAGTACAGATCTTCTACATTCTTGGTTAGATTTATTCCTAGGTATTTAAAAAAAATTTTTATACTATTATAAATGGGATTTTTTTTAAATTTTCCTTTCTGATAGTTCATTATTGGTATATAAAAATGCAACTGATTTCTGGATATTTACTGTACATCTTGCTACTTTACTTCTCAGTTCTAGTAGTTTTTTTGGTGCAATCTTTAGGGTTTTCCAGGTAATACATTTTTATTTTATTTTTTTATTTTTATTTTTTTTTAAATCTTTATTGTTGAATGTAGAATGTATTACAGATGTTCCTCATTTTTCCCCCAATGACCCCCTCCTCTCCACTCCCTCCCCCCTCCTGCCTTTTCCCAAACTATTGCCTCTGTCCATTGGTTATGCATATAAGTTCTTTGGTTTATTTCTTCCCACCCCCCAAGCCCTTTCCCTTTGAGGTTTGTCAGTCTAGCAATGAATTTGTACTTCTTAATCCCTTCGCCTTTTTTTTTTTTTTATCCTCACCCGAGGATATTTTTCCATTTTTTGTACAGATAGAGTGGGAGGGAGAGAGAGGAAGGGAGAGAGAGAGAGAGAAACATCGACGTGAAGGGACACATCGAGTGGCTGCCACCCGCACGACCAACCAGGGCCGGGGACAAACTGCAACCGAGGTACGTGCCCTTAGCGGGAACCGAACCCGGGTCTCTATGGACCACAGGCCGACGCTCTAACCGCTGAGCCAAACTGGCCAGGGCTCCCTTCGCCTTTTTCACCCATTCCCCCAACCCCCTCCCATCTTGCAACCAACAAAATGTTCTCTGTATCTATGAGAATGTTTCTTTTCTACCTGTTCATTTTGTTTGTAGATTCCATTGTTGATAGATATGTATTCATTGCCATTTTGTTTGTTCATATATTTTATCATTTTCTTCAGAAAGACCCTTCATCATTTCATATAATAACGGTTTGGTGGTGATGAACTCCTTTAACTTTTTCTTGTCTGGGAAAGTCTTTATATGGTCATCGATTCTAAATGACAGCTTTGCAGGATAGAGTCATCTTGGTTGTAGGTTCTTGCTTTTCATCACTCTGAATATTTCTTGCCACTCCCTTCTGGCCTGCAAAGTTTCTTTTGAGAAATCAGCTGACAGTCTTATGGGAATTCCCTTCTAGGTAACTAACTGCTTTTCTCTTGCTGCTTTTAAGATTCTCTCTTTGTCTTGAACCTTTTGCATTTTGATGATGTGTCTTGGTGTGAGCCTCATGGGGTTCATCTTATTTGGGACTCTGTGTGCTTCCTGGACTTGTGTGTCTGTTTTCTTCACCAAGTTAGGAATGTTTTCTGCCATTATTGTTTCAAACAGGTTTTCAAGTTCTTGTTCTCGCTCTTCTCCTTCTGGCACCCCCAAGATGCGAATGTTGGCACGCTTGAAGTTGTCCCAGAGGCTCCTTACACTCTCCTCATTTTTTTGTATTCTTTTTTCTTTTTGCTGTTCTGATTGGGCGTTTTTTGCTTCCTTATATTCCAAATCGATGGTTTGCTTCTTGGATTTACGTACTCTACTATTGAATCTGTGTAAATTATTCTTTATTTCAGTTAATGCCTCCTTCATTTCTGTCTGTGCATCCATCATTTCTGACTGGTCCTTTTTTATGCTCTTGAGGCCCTCGCTAAGTTCACTGAGGTTCTCACTAAGTTCATTGAGCATCCTTATAAGCAGTATTTTGAACTCAGCATCTGTTAGGTTGCTTATCTCCATTTCACTTAGTTCTTTTCCTGGAGTTTTGTTCTGTTCTTTCATTTGGGATCTGTTTTTTTGTCTCCTCATTTTGGCTGCCTCCCTGTGTTTGTTTCTGTGTACTACTTAACGAGCGGTATGGGGCTAGCTGAGACCAGATGCTGCTTGTTTGAAAGAATTTAGGAAAACCTGAAGCAGGATCCAAGACAGGCCAATCCTATGGTTAAGCAAGTGGCAACAGCTGGGGTGGGCCTGAAAGTTGGGTGGGGCAGGGCGGGGCTACCAGTGTGAGCCAGGTTGCTAGAGTCCCAGATATGGTGACTGTCTGCTACCCCAGGGAAGGGCTCACCAAAGGAACAAAGGCCTCTTACAGCACGTTTGTCCCGGAGAAAACCCCCTCTCCAGCCCTCGCTCCAGTGCCAAACAGCTCAATTCTTCCCTGTATGTCTCTGGCGCCCCTTGAGCTGCCTCCCCTCCAAGCTTAGAGGGAGAGAGTCCGATAAGTCCGTGCGCGGGCCCTTTAAGGAGCTGCCTGGGGCTCCAGCCGCTTCAGCCTCCCTGAGCCTCAGTTCCTGCTGGTTTTTCCAGCCAGAAGTGATGGGGATTCTCTTCCTGGCACTGGAACCCTGAGCGGGGCATCTGGTGTGGGACGGGGACCCCTCAGTCCTCAGGGAGGACCTTCCCAGCTGAAGTGTCATCCTGATTTTTATCCGCCACACATGTGTATGGGACCAGCTCGACTCGCCTCTGGCCCTCGCGCCTCCACCCCTCCTACCAGTCTGGATGTGGCTGCTGCTTTAATTCCATAGTTGTAGGACTTCCATTCAGCTTGATTTCAGGCGGTTTTGAATGATGGTTGTTCTGTAGTTTAGTTGCAAATGATGTGGTTGTGGGAGGACGCGATACCACGTTTACCTACCAGCCATCTTGACCGGAAGTCTCCAGGTAATACATTTTTGAATTTTTCAATTTGTGTTGGTTATAAGTGGGCAAATAAATCTATTTTACTTACATCAAGTTTAAAAAATATAGACATTATAGTGAAGTGCACTTAACTCTGCTTTTGAATCTTAGACATTTTTTTTTGCTAACTAGAATGTGTTTAAAGTTTACTCTGTCTTATCCTTTATGAATTCTTTATGGTACCTTATACAGTTCCTTTTACATAACTGTTTCTCAGATACTTAAAAAAAATCTTTATTGTTGAAAGTATTACAGATTCACCCCTATTTCCCCCATTGACCCCCTCCTGTCCACTCTCACCTCCCCTCTGCTGTCCCCACACTATGTCAGATATACTTTTTAATATGAT